CACGGCTGGCCTGCGCCAGCAGTGCAGCAACATGTGCCCGGCGACGGGCGGCGCCGAGAGGGGCGCTCGCGTGGGCTGCGTGTAGCTCTGGCGAGTCCTTCGCGACGCCGTCCCGCCGTGCCCGCGCCGCGACGACAGCGGGCCCCTTGCCCCACCAGATGCACCGCGCGCGGTCGTTCAACGAGTGCGCGAGGAGCGCCGGGGTCTGGAGAGGAGGGGCCAGGAGGCGCCCGCGTCGGGGCCCCGCGGGTCGAGTCGGGGCCCCGCTCGGGCGGAGGGGGGACGCGCGCGTCGCGGGCGATCCCCGTCGCCGCCAGGAACGCGCGAAGGAGTGAGGCTTGAAGATGAGGGGCCGGCGTTGTTTCTCGCGAAGTCGACGTGATGCCCCGGGGCTGACCTGTCCAGGACGGAGCTGGGTCTGCTGGCCAGCGCTCGGCGGCCGATGTCTAGAGGACGTCGGCCGACCGCTCTTGGCATCGAGTCCCTGAGGAGCTGTTCGTCCAGGCGTCGCCCGCGAGACGTCGCCGCGCGGCTCTTGCTCGGCGCGGGCTTCGACGACCTGAACAGCGCGGGCAGCGCCGTCGGGGGGCCCGTGGCAGCCTGCGGGCGGAGTGCGGTAGCGCCGTGGAGATCGAGGAGCTGAGGGGCTTCAGGAGATCGAAGTTCATCGCGAATTGGCGCCCAGGTGTCACCCAGGCAGCGGTGCGCGAGGAGAGCAGCCGCCGCCGCTGCCGCTCCCGGCCGACTCCCTGGGAGGCGTCGCCCAGCCGTCGGCGCCTGCAGTGGGCGGCCCGACGCGCGTCGCCCGACCAGGGGGGGCGGGGGCCGCCGGGGCGCGGTCGTAGTCGAGCCACCAAGTCACTGGCGCGCCCGCCTGCGCCAGTGGTGGGCCTGCCGAGCATCGGGCGCCCCGCGCAGTTCAAGGTTGCGATCTGCCCGGGCGACTTGGGCCGCGCGCTGGTCAGGGCGCTGCTCCGCCAGGCCGAGCTCGCGGCCGCCCCGTGCGGCCCGCGCTGGTCAACTACCGGATCCCTTGCGGCTTGGCCGGGGTCCTGGGGCGGGAAGTCGGTGAACGCCGTGGCGCGTTGGCCGCTTGGTGGCCGCGGATTGGGTCGCCTGCCCGGAGGGGCCGTTCGACGACTGCATCCCGCCGGCGGAGCTGAAGATAGAGACGCGCCCCGAGCAGTTAGCGGACGTGCTCAAGTGGGCCAAGCAGTCCCAGAACAGTATCTTGGCGGCTTGCCTCGTGTGCGGCGAGGGGCGCTGGGGCGAGCTGCGCTGAGATGCCCTCATCGAACTGCGTAAAGAGGGGCCGCGGAAGCGCGCGAGCAAGTGCGCAGCGGGCGCCCGAGTGGAGCTCGACTCCCACTGCTTCGGAGACCAAGTTGGGAGGTTGAGGAGGTGTTGAGGGTCTGCAACGAGCGCCTGCCCCGCAGGGGTGACTTCCTTGTCGCGGCCCGCGCTCCAGCGGGGTCGGGCGACTCCTCGACCTGCCGGGCGCGTTCGAGTTGGGCGACCCGAGCGGTTGCTACCGCGCGGTGATCTCTGCCCGGCTGGGGCGCCAGGTCACGGGGGCGCGCGGCCGTTGAGGCCTCGAGGGCGCGGGGGCGTATGGGGGCGGCGGAGGAGGAGGGGGCCCCATCGCAGTAGGACCAGGCGCGAGAACGGCAGGAGGCGGCCCGGGGCCCGGCAGGCGTGGGCGGCGGCCCTGGAGGCGGCGGCAAGCGCGCCCCCCCTCCTACGAGGTCTTGAAGGTGCTGACTCAGGACGAGACGGCCGTCGGATGACCCAGTCGCTCGAGCGCCCGCCGCGGGAATCCAACGGCAATCCCAAGCCCCGGGATGTTTAGTGCCGCGACGGGCGCGGCAAGACGGCCGCGACCGGCTCGCGGTCGCGCGCGGAGAGTGACGCCGAGAAGCTGCATTGGACAATGAAGGCCCAGCTCATCAAGAGCGGCGGCCTCGAGTCGGGCGCGAGGCCCCCCCTGGAGCCCAGGTGGCAGAGTTGCAGCAATTGAGAGAGGAGGCCCAAAAGGGGCAGCATGGCAATATCCAGGAGGCCATGGATCAGGCACGGCAGCGTTCGAGTCGAGGAACGGGCGTCGACCTGGCTATCCCAAAGGATAACTTGGAGGCCAATTTAACCGCGCAGGAAGACGGGCTGCAGCAGTGCACCTTGGGCCCCGACATGGACTGGCGCGCCGACCGCGCCGTCCAGGATGCGAAGGGGTTCCCTTGGGAGTTGCCTGCCGACATGCTGGAGGTGGCCCACGCGCGTGCTCGCGCCGCCAAGGAGGTTCTGGACGCCCCCAGAGCCAGGTCCTTACCGCGCACCCTCATGACCTGGTCGCGCCGCGTTGAAGCGCCGCGGCGTCGGTGTGCCTGGGGGCGCGGGAGGACTCGGAAGTTGGACGGCGTCGGTGGACCGCGCGCTGCTCGTCCCGTTTGGCAAGTTTTATCCCCGCCCTGGATCCTGGCCCCCAGAGGCCTTTTGGAGGCCT